GATGAAGGATACACTATGGGTGATGCGGGACTCGGCGAGCGCAGTGTCGCCCCGGAAGGTACCATCTTAGAAATCCCCGCCGATGATGGAGGCATGATACTCGAGGAGGATATTCATCAACCTCGTGAGGGCAGTCCCGCCGCTGCATTCGACGAGACCAGTGCGCCGTTCGTCCATCCCGCCGACAGTGGACCTGTTTCGCTTGGTACTAAGCATGCCGTGCACGTTCTTCGGGACATTTTCGGCCCTGAAGCGGCCACCGATGAGGACAAGCGAAAGAAGTCATCGGTTGTTTTCCAGGATTTGCTACCCGAAAACAGGGCCACAAAAGCGGACGCGACCAAGATGTTCTTCGAGTGCCTCGTCCTTGCCACCAAAGATGCAATCAAAGTTGAGCAGAAGGAAGGCTCCCTAGGCGGTCCAATTCGTGTCCGTGGGAAGCGGGGACTCTGGGGTGCATGGGCGGAGAAAGAGGCGGGTGGCGAGATTGCACAGCAAGAAGAGCCCGCTTCGCAACCCTCACCAGCGATAGCCAGTTCGTCACGACCCATTGCTGCGGCAGCGTGATTGGCTTTTCACCCGAGATCCTTTGTTTCACGGTGTAATGGAGCTGGCTAGAGCAAGCAATGGCTCTCTTGTACAAATTACTCGACTTGTTGGAAACTGTCATCAACAGCGGACGAAAGGCGTAACGGCGTACTGGTCAAGGGCACAGGGAGATACCACTATTGCGGGTATATTGGCTGCAAAAAACTACGATGGGGATGCGGAAATTGTTGTTTTATGAGATACTCTGCGTTGCATTGGTATGGGTCAAGGATATCGAAGGTAATGATCGTCCTAGTAGACGGCATTTCAGTAGAGACAACGCTTGACTTTGGCGGTGTTTGTAGTAATGTGCGCATGTGCATTTTTCCAGGGGTGTCTGGTACTCCGGCATTAGCATAGCTTCAATTCAATCAAATGTAGCAAGACCATCTTCAATATGCGCACAGAGCAACCGCCATAATGCTGTTTATTGTATGTGACTATATTGCCATATCTTTAATGCTCTGTTTCGGCCTACGCCTCGACCTCGACCTCGACCTCGAAAGCTACAGTACACGGCGCAGGTCTTCTTCATTCCAAGATCTTCAAGACCTCACTAGCACTGATAATCTCAAAGCATTATCAGATGAGTATTCATTTTCTTCCGTTTTGATGTCCATGCACCTACTCCAAGTTAATAATATCAACGTATGGGACCCAGAACCTCTCGCTTCAACAAACGTTCCTAGATCATGACTCAATGTACCGATGGCAGTAGTCAGTCGCTCTCAGCTCGAATGTAGCTAGATATTGCTAGCTTACGTATTCATCAGTACTGATATGCATGATTTTGATCTAGATCTACTCGAGCAAAACATATCATGGTCCTACCTCTCGATACGGCTGACAAGGTACCCCTGGTGCTAATCAGGGTACGAAGGTACTCTGTGGGCCAGGAGGGCAGCCAACTAGAACCGATGTCAGTGACCCCACGTGTCAGCCTCAGGTCGCTTTCTCCGACTACACCTCAACTTAGATTCTCTCACGATCCCGTTGGAACAATGGATAAACGTTTCCTGGAACCCAGTTTATTGTTTCAAAGGGTCTTTCTGAATAGACCACCTCATTTTTTCTCATATTTAAACCTTAATTCGGTCTCGAATGGGTTAATATACTCGAGCCTCGCTATTATTTGTCTCCATTCGCCTGGTTGAATGGGTGATACCATCCGAATTGCTTCACGATCCAACAGCACCTTTGCTCTTCAACAGTGTTCTATTTCATCTGAAATATTGGAACTGAATCACAGCTGTGTGGCTTTGGACTTGCTGCGAGTGCATGTATCACGGGCTCTGATTTATCCTACTCATCTTGTGATCTACCTGGCAACGATACAAAGTCGTCTCCAGACCTGCCCGGCAACGATAGGAAACCGCCTCGCTCACTCTATCGCCTTCTTATTTGCTCTTGCACAGCCTCTCAGTGCAAAGACCATTTCGTCCCATGCCGAGCCAGCCCTGTCTTGTTGACAGGCAACGCGCTACCTATCATTGCCCAGTACAATGGTAAAGTCCCTACTGGAGCTGTGCACTATCGTGTGCCAGAAGAATGTGAGAGGTCAGTCTTCGGATCTTAGCTCTTGAGAACCCTTTTTCCTGCCTCGCCTGACCCTCTGAATCACTGAATCCCAACATCTACCCAAAGCCGCTTTTTGGTCTTTTCCCTCTGACTTGCATCACTGCAACCGAAACTGTCCGACCCCTACATTCCACCACTCCTTGTGCATGACTCCAACCCGCCACACCAACTGACCATCATGCCTCGTACAGACATCTTCGACGTTGGAGGCGCACCATGGTCCATCGTTAGCGGGATCATAGAGAAGGTCGATAACCCGGAACAGCTTCGCGAAATACAACGAAACTCCCCCCATCTAGAGACCCACACCGGCCACATCTGGCGACGCTTCATCGAGCGAGACTTCAGGCGGCTCGACAAGACACACGGCTGGCAGCCTAGCAATGAGGCTTCGTGGCACAAGATCTACGCGAAATACAAAAAAGCCGACGAGCAGGCTAAGAAAGATGCCACGGATAGGCTGGTCTCGGCCATGCAGGGCATCCAGGAAGGCAAGAAGTCTAATGCCAGCAAGGTTGTCGACTACGATCGCAGAAAGCTGCCACGAACTCCTTTAGATTCCAAAGCCTATGGTGGCTCCGTGCGCCGTGGACCTGGCCGATTTCAGGATCAGACGGGCGGCATGAGGTTCACTGGCGGCTCGCGCACCAAGACAAACACGTCCAAGGGCCTGCTCAAGAAGGCGATACGCGAGGCAAAAGAGATCACTACCAGAAACAGACTCAACACACCCACTGGGGCTTTGGCAGTACGACCGGGACAGATTCGCAATGCACCCCCTAGTATGGTGCAGGAACACATCAATAAGGCTCGTCCTGCGACTGGCGTTCGCCCTCCTAGTCTGCATTCCCGATCGAATGCCAGAGATCGTGAGCAGGAGGAACGGGAGGAGCGACTGCGCTCAGCAAAGCGGATGAGGACCGACACAAAGGTAACATACCTTTCGGATGACGATCTTGACGACGACCTAGACGACGTATTTGGAGGTGACAGGGACTACGACTCGGATGACGACGCTGCTTCGGGTTCGAACCCGGGATTTCTTAGTGAGGAATTCTTGGACGAGCCGATTCAGCCCTCGCCTCCTAAACCGAGCAGATCGACTCCTGCTTCTGCGTCGAAGTCAGGCCCCCAACCAACGTCCGGGCGGACTGGTATCATGTCTCGCAAGCCTGCACGCTCGGCTGGCTCGTCATCCTCGTACACTATGAGAGTAGAGATTGAGCCGCCCAAGTCACAGACCCGACACCAATCAAATTCGCGTTCTGTGGAACGCAATAATCCTCCGGCTCGTCACTCTCAGGACCAGACTCCATCCCGATCTCTGCAATCTCGTCCTCAATCCCAGCTCTCCTCCCTAGGAGGATCCGAGATTGCTCGGTCTCTTTCCCCTCCACAACAGTCCTCTTCACGAACTGCGCCATCCACACAATCCAAGGCTATGTCACCAGCCAGCTCTCCGCCGCCAAAGAACTCGCCGGCCGATGCCCCCGGTGGCAAACCTCTCATGCAGCGCAAGCGAAAGCCGGTGGATGTGTTTATGAAACCGAAACCCAAGGTTGTTCGGAGATAGATATTCTTCTCAGCTTCAATGTCTCGCGGCAGCCATCCACTATACTCTTGTCACTGACGGCATGACGGTAGTTGTATGATAGGTACTTGGCTCTGGATTATTTTTGCCTCTTTTCAGGGGGGAAGCGGGGTTTGGCAACACAAAGAGCAGATATTACGAACGAGCGGAGCATGGCGTCTAGGAGCGTGTTCATAGCCTCTCGAGCCTGCGTGTCCTGGTATAGATACCCAGTCTGAGGTTTTCATTTTTAATGTTTCATACTCATGGAAAAGGCTTCGTGCCTTTTGGTCAGAAGCACTGCATAGTTTGGAACTCAATGTCCAATCTGGGAGGGTTTCTATTTTTCGGTACATACGATGCAAGATTCAAATTCTGGATCGGAGTATCCATCCACTGGGTTTCAAGGAGGATGAGCTGGTAACTTGAGACTAGCGCATCCGAAGTTGGTAGGGAAAAGAGTCTGGAAGACGGGGATGGAACTGTATATACTGAAGACATTCGTCAGGACAATGACCGCGGCCTGGTGGGTGCTGACGATGCGTGCTATCTGGAGCACTGTAGAAATTATTGGCCCAGAAACCCCAGGGCGGCTGGTAGTGTTCCAGAGGTAGTGGACCTACGATGTAGAAATCACATCTCATTGCGATGCATGTTTTCCAGTAGCAACAGGTATCCACAGGTCTGTTTGATCGAGGACACCATCAATTGTTTTCATTTGGTTCCTAGAGCTTGCGGATTTCGCAGTCTGTACATAGACGACTTGTCTTCCTATCAAGACATCCGACTCGGGTAAGTCTTCGTGGCTCGAATGGTAGAGCACTCCCTGTCTTGATGTTAAGAGGTATACCGCACCATGTTCCTCATCAGAAGCACCGACTCGGGTCAAGGTTTGGGCTCTTTGAGTCCTAGGACTACAACCTCTGTAGGTACGCTTGGAGGCAGGTTCACTATGAGGTAAACTGATATCACACGTCTTCTTTCTGGTAGACTTTCTATAATGAACAGCCCAGCTAGCCCTGCCACTCTTTTTTCTCCCTGGAATATTCGCCCTTGGTTTAGCTGTCTGGGGATGTCTGGATCACTTGGACCTCTGTGCACTGGCTGCTAGGTCCACGTCGTACGTGTGGTGCAAGTATCGCCACAACGATCAGATGGAATACTCTATTTTCCGCTCTGGCCGTAATGTCTATTCTACCGATCATCAGCGATGCCATGGTTTTAGTAACGAACTACGGCTGCTACGTCACCCAAATACCAGAAATTCCTCTTAGCTCAACGGTGGAGCGTGTTCCGGCAGCCTTGCGCGTCTTTCGATAAAATTCGCAACTCGCGTTCAGGCAAGCTCGGGACAAGGTCTGGGTTCGAATCCCAGAGGGGATGCTCGCGCGAACAGATCCCGCAGGGAATCACCCTGTGGGATCTGTTCGCGGCTCTTTTTGCACCTGCTTGAGCTTCTCCACTGGGGTTCTTCTAGAGCCTCAAGTCTTGCTTGTGATGGGACTTGGCTCTCTATAATCGTCACTGGCTTTCAGAATGGTGAGGGGATCATTCACCATGGTGATGAATGGAGTGGTGGGCTAGGTAGTATATTACGTGCCAACTACTGGAACTACGAGCACACATCTGTGAACATTGGTACCACCTGGAAACTAAGGTTGACTGAAGCGACATACCAGCACTTCACTGCCCCTATCACCAAGGATCACCGAGAATCATCGAAGTGAAGTACTCAAGTCAGAAGCCAAGATTGGTTCAAGATATCCCTGCTTCACTGTAACTTCAGATGCAAGAATCGAGGTAGGAAAGAACTCAAAGGCTGTGGTCAGATGACACTTTGTGTATATATTTATCGAAACATTGACTGCGAAGCTGACTGGTCAACCTGGACAGAATGTCCACGACGAGGAAAACAAATGATAATGGTATACCATCAGAAAGCGCAAGTGACATGTGCGGGACTACCGATGTGTGTTCATAGTGGTCAATTACGCCATGCTGTCTGCTTGTCTGTGTAGCTGTCTAAGCGCAGTTCGCGCACAGAATCCCATACTCTCTACCCTCGATTCAGAAAGGACCGGCAGTCAAGTCTTGGTAAACTGTCCGGTCTATGGCTCTTGTCCCAGTGTCGTTACCATTCTCTTATGTATGTCACCCAAAACCTTAGGTGGTAGTTTCGAAAGAAGTCCTCCATTTCCTCGCTGAATGGTTGCCTCGGAGCACTCTGTCCATCTCCGGTATTGAGTAGTGGCGAAGTATCGGTGATGCGCAACACCAGCCATGGAACACGCGCTATGAGCCAGCTGCTTACTCATGGTATTTCAAGCTCTAGCAACGTCCGCCTCGGAGTGTCAGGACAAGATGTAGTGTCGCGTCGGGGCCGATGTTGCTGTCTCCAATCTTGGCTTCGTCATGCCTAGATACTCTGTTAGCTTGATGCCACAGTATAGCAGGCATCATCGAGCTTGTTCCAAAAGAATGGGAAAGATGTTTGTGTTGGATTAGGGGTCTGTCGTGGTACGGTGTGGTTTGTATTCATGGCCCAGGCGGAAGGAGACCATATATGGAGCTCTGCAGCTCTAGATATCGGAGCAGGGATGGGGAGACGAACAGTTGCTTGCCCGAGTAGATCAGTCGCTGTTGGGCGGGCAGGATACCCTCCTTCTCCTCCACGATCTTCTTGATGTCCTCGATCTGTAGTATTCCAGCTCGTCAGCGCTCTGCCTACGGTCCCTTCTCGTTTGTCATGTTTATTGAGGCACGATCGACACTGCGCGCAAGCGTTTGCGCCGTTGCGGGAGCGCAAAGGGTAGTAGTGGTAGACATACGGTGTCGGTGGTGGGCTCGACGTCCATCTGGATCAGCTTGCCTGTCAGGGTTCGCACCCTTTGACACGTTGTCAGCTTGTGATCGGCTGGAACCGAATGCCTTATCGTGCGATCTGCAGGCACATAGGATAGAGAGGGGGGTCTGCGTACTTGATTTGCATCTTGACTGTGCGGTGCGGGTTTATGGCAGTAGTGTTTTTTTGGGGAGCCTGATATGGGGGGGGGGCTGTAGTATCGGCGTTGACTTTGTTGGTGTCTATAAGCTTGTCGGAGGACCTTATTAGTTGGGTGTGAGTGAATAGATGTTGACTGAGACGGGATGCTGAAAGCTGGGCGAGGTGGGATATGGTGGGGTGCTTGTGCTAAGGTGAGGTAAGGTGGAGTACCTAAAATGCGGGGCGGATTTCTTGTCGGTATGTACCTCCATCTTTCGAGCCGGGACACTGGTTTAACAGAGGTATGATGCCTGGATATGGAAGGGCCTGTTTTCTCAACAGGCAGCAGACTGCTCGGACTCCCCTAGTAGTTTATAGAGATGCATAGTTGATTTCACTGTGGCCCGGATCAATGATCAGTCGCTTCTTGGTATAACTTTACAAGCCTCTGGATGAGATCTCTATGCGTGTTGTCCTGGCGCATATCATATCTTGTCTATTAAGTTGTTAGGGATGCGGGACAAAAAGCATATGTTCGAAGTATGGAGCAGACTGTGATCTTTTCCATTCATTGCGAGACTGATAGTACTCGCAATCTCAGCCATTTTTGAGGAGAGCCATGCCACAAGGTGCTAATGTACAGTGATTATAGACAGTTGGTATCTAAGCGTACAGTGTAGAATTTTGTTGTAATTCCTCCACATCTCCCGTTAGACTTATTTCTTACTGCTCTCCCCGTCGCTGAATACATTCAGGCCCAGACCTTCCGAGTCAAGCAGCAGCTTGTTCTTGCCACCGGCGTCCTGGAGCTGACTGGCGATCATACGAGCATTCTCGATCTTCTTGAGCTCGACGTAGGCCTTGCTCTTCTTGACAGCATCGCCAATAAGCTCGGCTGAACGGGCCTCACCCTGTGCCCTGACAACCATGGCCTGCTTCTCCTGTCTAGCCTTATCCACAACGAATGCCGCTCGCTGTGCCTCTTGCTGGGCAACTTGCTTGGCTTCCACGGCCGCCGTGAACTCGGGCGAGAAAGCGAGGTGCTGCATTTCATGTTAGTCAAACTATTGAACGCTCCGTCTAACCTGGTCGAGACTTGCCGTAAGAGACACATCGTCCAAAAGGATATTAAAGCGCGCAGCCCGACGCGATAAGTTGTCCCGCACCAGTCTCGCCACCATCTCACGTTGTGTGATGAGCTGGCTCGCGTTGAACTGGGCCACTACACTCTTCAATACCTCGTTCACAATCGAAGGCAGCACTCTCTCGTCGTAATCCTGTCCCAAGGTTCGGTAGATCTGGGGAAGCGCGTTGATTTCGGGTCGGGAGAGCACACGGCAAGTGATGTTGACCATTTGCAAGTCCTTGGTGCCGGTAAGGGAAGACACATTTCTGGGTCTCGCACGTACGTTATATGTGATGGGCGTCTCGAACCAGGGGATCATCAGATGTGTTCCTGGCGGCAAAAGGGTTAGTAAAGATGCTGAATGAGGAATGGCGGACCAGCCGGAACGAACCTTCGCTGTAGATTTCTTTGCTGACACCGCTTACTCTCCGGTACTTGATGGCTCTGTGACCTCCATCTACGTTGAATAGAGAGTTCTGGAGTAGGATAGCGCCACCTCCGAGGAGGAGGAAAGCTCCCACGCCGAAACTGACACCAGGAGGAGGACGGCCGCCACCGGGAAAGCCTCCTCGGCTCTGGCGGACCATGGTGCGCATGCGCTCAACAGTATCTTCCAAGGGATTCCGCGACATGTTGCCAACTGAACTGCGGTGTTGTTGGCAGTGGTGAAGTAGTCGGTGAGGCTGAGGAAGGAGATGGAGGAAGCAGTGTTGCGACTGGTGGTGATGAGCTCTCTACAGCTCCAACGGCTCCATTTGGCTCAAAGTGATGATCCGTTTTTTCGGGTGGCCCCATTGCAGCTCGTTAGCTTGGCTCAGCTCAGCAGCCAGCAAGCCAGCTCCAGCATCTGGGGATTTCCAGCCAGCCACAAGGTGGTCTGTGCGAGCGCCACAATCGTCGTCTTGCTAGCATTTTCGAACTGAGGCAGTTTTTTTTTGGGATTTTGGAAACACCTGCGTTTAGATCATGGAGTCGGAATACTCTATAATCTTCATTTTGAAATGCAACGTTCTTACATATAACGCGAGCTGTATCGTCTTGTATTGAAGGGATAACGCCCTCAACTCCATAGCTGTGCCTAATACCTATAGTACACCTCCACTGCCCACCTACCTAGTAGGTATACTTGATATTTCCTATCTGCCTCTTAAGGTAACGATGGCAATTGGTATATAGTTTGTCGGTGGGCCGGTGTGGCGCACGTCAACTCCAGGGGTAGATGGTGAAGGGCTTTCAGTTAATCGACCGATATTACTTCCTCAGTTTCCGCTATGCCCGTGCAGTGCGATAACCGTTCGTGCAGAATCACAGTATCTACATAGGTACTAAGCTCCTCTTTATCGCTATGTTTACTATGCCGTGTAGCTTGATCATACGAGAACCTGGGATTCAACAGGCGCGGTATCATCACCCGCTCCCTCTGACAATACCTAATAATACCTTTGAAGTGTGCAATAGGTAGGCAAAGCCACATGCTATCAAGGTGCCAGCGTTGACGATTGCTCTTATTATTATGGCCAATAAGTGGGAGGGTTCGTGCACGTTCATAGCGCCCTTGGCAGTTAACTACGACGCGTCAAACCACGCAGCGGGACCATTCACGACCGCGTGATGATGAGAATGAGATTACTCTGACATCCCTCACAGTTCCTTCACCTCTCATCACGCCTGTCTCCAGTCATTGCGCTTTCCTTCTGCAGAACGAGTCGCACATAAGCTCTGCCACATTGGTGTCTGCTTACATACCTAATACATGGCGCTTCGGCTCCATCGTTGCGATATCATTGACAGCTATGTGATGTAAGACCGCAGGATGGACGAGGCCTTCAACCTTGAGCGAACCTGAGTCGATGCGGTTCGGTAGCTGGGGTTACGTTCGACGTCTGTCAGACTGCCAAGAGGTTAACAGAGTCATTTCTCATGATGGTAGGAGAGGCAGTATCTGGCCCAAGAGTCGCTTCTTTCCAGACCCCAACAAGTTTTCCGCATGTCCACCTTCTCGATCACCAGTGTCTCTTCTATCCGCAAGTGCTTCCGCAGGCATGATGAACGACCAGTCGTCGCGAATAACACCCTCATTTTCGATCCGCGCATAGTCTGGAGCAGCTCCTCGAGTATCCCAGCAGTGCTCCGATCATCCAGCCAATGGAAGCCGCTGATCACGCAGAGCAGTGTCTCAGGCATGAGTCGAAGAAGGTCGTGGAGAAGATGAATCATCTCCGACCAGCAGAGGACAGTACCGTCCAGGAACTGGAATCGGTTTGATGACAGGTT